GGCACCGCCAGGAAGAGGGGTCCGACGACCTCCGCGCTCACCTGGGAACATGAAAACGAGAAGCTGCAGGTCGAAGTAGTAGGAGGACCAAGTGGTGGGCTGGTGCTCGGAGACGGAGGCGATGATGGGGATGTTGTTCTTGGCGTAGGAAGGGTCCAGCAGGGAGTAGAAACGCCCCGTCCACGGGGAGATTTTCCCTGGGGAAGAGGAAGGGGGAGAAAAATAATCGTGTCGAGTTCCAGCAGAGAGCAACAGGCAACGCCGACGCGCGATCCCGGACCTCGTTTACACAGAATCACACAGAATAGTAGGGGTTGGAAGGGACCTCTGTGGGTCACCCAGCCCAACCCCCTGCCCAAGCAGGGTCACCTACAGCAGGCTGCACAGGACCTTGTCCAGGCGGGTCTTGAGTATCTCCAGAGAAGGAGACTCCACAGCCTCCCCGGGCAGCCTGGGCCAGGGCTCCATCACCCTCAGAGGGAAGAAGTTCTTCCTCGTGTTCAGCTGGAACTTCCTCTGCTTCAGTTTGTGCCCATTGCCCCTTGTCCTGTCACTGGGCACCACTGAAAAGAGCTTGGCCCCATCCTCCTGACACCCACCCTGCAGATATTTGTAAGCATTTACAAGGTCCCCTTGCAGCCTTCTCTTCTTCAGGCTGAACAAGCCCAGTTCCCTCAACCTCTCCTCGTAGGGGAGATGTTCCAGTCCCCTCATCATCCTCGTAGCCCTCGTTTAGCACCTTTGTTATTCAAAACTGCCATTTTTGACAGCAAACACGGTGTGGTTTTACCCTAAAATGACTTCTTCCCCGCCCAGCCCGCGTTTTTAGCGGCTCTTTGCTACTACAGATCAACACTCAAGTGTCTGAAGCAGCAGCTCGGCGTCCCCAGCGCGCGCCGAGTCGCGGCAGGCTTCTCGCCACGCCTTGCAGCACGGATCTTACATATTTATATTTCCCTGCTAAATCATAAATCGGGGCGGGTCCCAGCCTCCCCGCTCCACGCGGGGCTCGTGAGCTCCGCGACCGCGGTCATTTAGGAGGAGGATCGGCGAATCGCACGCTCCTGACAGCGCCGGGAGGAGGCGAAGCCGGCGGGCGCGGGCTGCCCGT